TAGCAGGGGCTCTGTGCCACTCCTGCAGGAGCCAAGTGGCCCTTTTCTGTACGTTCTGAGTACATCTGCTGAATTTCTTTCACAAACTGATAGTTGACACAGACTACAAAATGAGTTAAGACTGCAGTTCACACCAACAAAGCAAAATCCCTACAGTCCTACATGTCCCCAAGGTAATGGGAGAAACTAACTGTAGGTTAGAAGTACTGTGCAGGGGTCAGCGGGACTGCTCAGCAGATACTGACTCTCCAGCCAAGCCTGACCACTGGAGACCGATGCCCAGGACCTACATGGTGGGGGAGAAAATTGACTCCCTCTGACCTCCACAAGAATAATCACCATGAACACCTCCCCCCCCCCCCCTCTCTCTCTCTCTCACACACACACACACACACACACACACACACACACACACACACACACACGCACGCATCTCTACAGCGATAAACAAATAAATGGTACTGTCCAGCACCACGTCCATCCCACCACGACCCATCCCTCTCTAGACAGTCACTACACCAAGGAAATCAGCAGTCACTCCTAGACACAAAGGTCCTTTACAGTCAGAATAGTCAGGGGGAGGGGGAGGTACCAGGGCGCCAGGAGCCTGCAGCATGTGCCCTCCATCATGCACACAGCTCTTGAGCACCCTCCACCCTTACTTGTTAAGGCAGGCTGCCAGGTCTCTTGAGGTCCGAAGTCCATGGACAGGAACTGTCTCCATGACTCACATCAGGGAGGGGATGCTTGCTTCAGCTCTGCCTCACAACTTAGGACTGCTCAGGGGACTGACAGCCTGCATGCTGGGGATGAGGCGGCTTGAACACTTGTAACAAGGGAAAAACTACTCATACTAGCTAAACCCACAAAGCCTTTTGTATCCAGCAACACGGCCGAGTCTTACTCATCCTCTGAAGGACTGAAGCGCAAAAAAGCGATGCACACCACACACCACACCTGCAGAAGTCAGGGCAGGGTGGCATGCCACAGCTCGAGCAATACCATGGAAGAGCCTGAGCTCTCACGGCTAATCCAAGGCACCACACCTTAGCTGAGTAGCTGAGAACACTCCTTAGTCCTCAAGCAGAGCCTTCTAACAATAACTCCCCTAATAGAATCACCCACATAAAAACCCATAAACCATGCACTTTAAACATGAGCCAACGTGCTGACTGTTCAGGTGTGCCTGTTCTTGTGCAGGGGTATACCATGCATACACAAGTGCATGCGCATGTGTGCGCCCGCGCGCGCGCGCACACACACACACACAGACAGACAGACAGACACACACACACACACACACACACATTTTGGTGTATTTGTCCCTGTTGCTGACGGGGCTATCTAATTCATTTACAGTCTCTGAGGATCTAATCACAAGACTATGAGATTACAGTAATGTGATTTACTGTGGGCAGATACTAGCTTTGAAATGTGAGACTCTCTGAAAGGCCACGATCAGTATGTGTATGCTCAATATTGCTGTGTAGAAAGCCCCGAAGCATCATCAGAAGTCGCTGAGGGGACTAAGGACATAACTAGGGGTGGAGATGGCTCAGTGGATAAGAACACTGGTTACTCTTTCCAAAGGACCCATGTTCAAGTCCCAGCATGCACACAGAGGCTCACTGCAGTTCCAAGGGATCCAATGCTCTTCTGGCCTCTGGAGGAATTGCACAAATATCCATGCAAGCAAAACACTCACATACATAAAAATATAAAATTTTTAAAAAATAAATAAAAGCCACATAGAGCTCTCATTTCTTTTAGAGTAGCCTTAGGCTGTAGTAAGTTGTTCACCAAGAGCTCGAGTCCTTGCTGCCTTTCCCTAGTTTTCTCTCTCTCTAGGTAGGATAGGGTGCTGAGACAGGATCTCACCATGTAGCCCTGGCTGGCCTGAACTCACTATGTAGCTGCCTCCCAAGCGCTGGGATTAAAGGTATATACCACCCACCATGCAGGGCCAGCAGCAGCAATCAGAGAAGATGCTTTCTGATGCAGACAGACTAGAAAACTGACCACAATGCTGGGGGCACAGGGTGGCAGGGTACGGCTAGGTGACAGTCAGGCCTGAGGTTAACCCTGCCCCCACCTGGGAGGGGGATGAGCACAGCAAACACTAGATGCGAGTCTTCCCAGAGGGCAGAAATGCTGGCACCAGGCAGGTGCCGGATTACGAACAGCAAACCAACGCATTGTCACCTGTGATGGCCAAACAACAATGAGGAGTGACAACCCAGTGTCAGCAACATGTGAGGTCCACAGTCCTTACTCAGACACTTAGGGTCACACATGAATTACAGGGGAGGGACTTCCTGCCAGCATGGAGGACGGTCCCATTTTCTACAGTCACTGATGCCCAGTAGCCAGGCTGCATCCTAGGAAGGACAGAAACACCAGTGTCAGCTGACATCCAGCCTCGTGGCCAGGACTCTTGAGGGTCCCCAGGACACCACCACCCTCTCTTGCTGGAGGGCCACGGGAGAGGAGACGTACTGAGAGCATACAGAATTACCAGGGCTGAGAAAGTCACTTATACATAGCTCCTTTAAGTTACAGAAAGAGAAATGGATGGACACAAGGTGACCCAGCTTTTCGATTCCCAGACCTCATTCTGCCCACAAAGAATCAACTGTACTTCAGGTCCTGGAAAGCACAGACCACGTGTGAACATGGTGACGAGAGAAGCCAAGGTCAGCAGGCACTGGTCCACCTTCCCGTGTTGGCCCTAGGGTGGCACCGCCATCAGTCCCTCCCAGACAACGGTTCAGGACAAGGCCTTACCGACAATTACAGCCATGGAGGAGGGATGAAGTGTAGGTGTGCAGGCACACCTGTATGGCTATATATATGGAGCTAGGTGTCTTCTCTTGTTTTTACCTTGTTTTTTGGAGACACTGTCTCTCAGTGATCTGGAGCTCACCATTTTGGATAGACTGGCAGCCTCCTCCTGCCTCTGCCCTCCTAGTGACAGGGGTACAGACATGCATCACTGAGCCTAGCTTATCACATGATGCTGGAGATCCGAGCTCAGGTCCTCATGCTAACACTATCCACTAAGTCATCTCCCGGCCAGAGCCTAACAATGTCCAAAGGGCTCACTCTATTCCATTGCCTGTGAGGATGGTCACAGAACAACATAATCCTGACTAACACAGTGTAGGTAAGAGCCACACCACCACACCAAACAGATCCCCTGTAAGTGCTCTGAGGCTCTAAGATGGAGAGCCTTTTGTGGATGTGGGAGCTGAAGGGACTGTCTGAACTCACTGGAAGACTGGCAGTTTAGAGTTTATTTTGGGCTTCTTAATTGGCTCGTTCCATTTCTTTGAAGAAAAGAATGTCTTGAATTTGTCCCTCAGTTTATAAAAAGAAAAATGGTTTAACTCCAAACAGACCATGAGTCCCCGACCTGGCTTGCGGGCTGTAGCTGTCCTCTCAGATGGCCGCACTGAGCCCTAGTAATAAAAAGCCAACCTCCCAAATGCTCCTCGACACTAGTAAAGGAACACACAGCTGGAGGGATCGCTCAGTGGTTAAGAGCACTGGCTGCTCCTTCAGGGACCCGAGTTCTATTCGTTGCACCCACACCAGGTGGCTCAGAACCCTCTGTAGCCTCAGTTCCAGGGGATCCAATGCCTCCAGCTTCCACACACGTGCGCGCGAACACACACACACACACACACACACACACACACACACACACACACACACGCGCGCGCGCGCGCACGCGCTATGGAATATTCTTTTACACTGTATGAAGATGTCACTGTTTGACACTGGTTTGATAAAAAGCTAGCTGCAAACAGCTAGGCAGGGTTATGGAGACAAAGAGAATGCTGGGAAGAAAAAGGGGGAGAAGTCAGGCAGATGCAGAATGAGGAGGACACATAAAATGGGATAGAGGTTAGAGCCACATGGTAGAATGTAGACTAATGAAAACATGGGTCAATTTAAGTTGTAAGAGCTAGTTAAGAACAAGCCTAAGCTATTGGATGAGCTTTCATAATCAATAAGAAGTCTCTGCATGGTTATTTCGGAGCTGGCAGGTGGGACAGAAAATCTGCCTACACCTATATGTAATAGAAAATAAACCCTTGAAAAATAAAGGAACATACTAAACAGATGTGTGGGCAAAGCACAACAGACATTCAGTTCAAAACCCCACTCCAAAATCAGGTTAAGTTTCAATGGAATGGCATCAGTCAAGAGAAACAAAGGTATCAAAGTAGAAATATCTCCATTTAACGGCAAGATTCACGTTTGCTGACTGGAGGATCTTTGTTCCCTGAGCTGGTTCACTTGTGTAATAATCAATCCAGCCACAGAAGCCAAACACAGAACCAAAACAAAACAAGCAAGTCCTTAACACCCAAGCAGGAACCACAGGAGAACCGGAAGCTTTCCCGAAGGGAAACATCCACCTGACGTGGAACAGTGCTCTTGGCAAAAAGTTGCCTTCACTGTGTGTACTTCCAGAGCCCGGGGTGAGATGTGCCCTATGGGGGTGGGCTGGGCTGGGCAAAAGTCCTCTGTTCACATTCACAGCAGGGCACAGCTGTACTCAACATCTGCATCTGCACATGGTGGTAGGGGCACTAAACCCTCACCTCTAGAGCTCAGAACTCACCAACCCCCTTTCCCTCCTACAGCTAAGGAGAGCAGGTGCACAAAAGCTCCAACTCGTGCCCGATGGGGTGGGCTCAGTGAAAGCAAAGGCTCCAACAGCCCTGCCCAGGCAATGGGGATGAACCAGGGTCATGCGCACACTAAACAACGAGATATAACCGTCTACCACTGAGCTAGCTAAAAGCCACCCCTGGGAACATTTTCTTGGATTCATGTTCCATTTACAGCTCAGAAACCAAAAGGTCAGGCTGAAGAGATGTGCAGTGGGTTAGAGTGCTTGCAGAGGACCTGGGTTCAGTTCCCGGCACCCACACGAGGGAACTCAGAGCCCTCGCGCCTGTAGCTCCAGCTCGGGGCGGGCTGGCACTCACCTTGTGCAGAGGGAGCACCAGGAAGGCTCCTCCCCCACTGGCCTCTATGATGATGGCCACGAACCTGGGGTTGACAGCGCAGAAGGAGCTGTCCCAGGTCACTCGCGAGACGCGGATGTCATCATAGCACTGGTCATTTTTCACTGCCTGTCCAAAGACGTGCCGGAACTTGCTCTGTCGTACCACTCGCCGCATCGTGTCTGTGAAGAGAGAGAGCACATGAGACCCGTGGGCCACCACGCTGCACGTTTGCAGCACAACAGGCAAGCTGGAAAAACCTTCTGTCCTGTCCTAAAAAGTAGCCAGGCTGCACACCCCAGCTCCCTCTGGAGCACAAACACAGAGAGCACGGAGAGCTGAGAACTGTGTCGGAAAAACTTACGACACCAGAGCGGTCCGAGGTCATGAAGGAGACGGGTCTTTCCGGGTGGTGGGAAAACTCACTCCGCCCTTCCTATTTCACAGACAGGAAAATAGCAAACTGAAGCCACCTTGTAAGTGTGGAGCCCAGCCCCGAACCAGTTATGACCGGGTGGGGTGGCTCTCTCCTCGGCCTGTGGGTCATTTTCCAGTTTTACACGCTCTCTCTCTCCCTGACATCAGCATTCCTGTGTGAGCACTGTGCTGGCTCCCCAGAACGACTCCACATTACCAACTCTGCAGACTCAAGGGACAGAAGCAGCTGCCCTGCCTCCAAGCGCCTGCTATCCTCTGCAAACAGGCTTGCCCTTCAGAGCAACCCAAACCAACCAGGGAGGGACGGGAAATCTGACCTGAGCCAGGTCTTAGAAAACAGAGTAGTTAAATGGGAAGTAGCTGATGGGACCACCCTACCATGACAGTGAGTCTGGCAGTCCCATCCTGCAGGGAAAAAGTAAGAGCCAGGTACTGGGCCAGAAGCCAGGGCAGTCAAAGGCAGCCTGATGACATGTTGGTGACAGCTGGATAGAAGGACGGGGAACAGGACATCGTGGAAGGGAAAGGAGACCATGAAGGGGGTCGCCTGTCAGATCATTCAACCTCTGGCAGAGTGAGCTGGGCATGGGGAATGTGGGTGACAGCTAGCTGGGGTCCTGGCCTCCTCATGGGTTGCCAGATGGACAGGAACACTGGAAGCTTTGTGCTCTCGGCCAGGGCCCCGCCCACCTCAGGTTCCTAGCCGGTACTTGATGTAATTTTCCTGTCTGCTTCTGTGTGGCACTCTGCTCAAAAGACAAATGGAACGGGATAAAGCTAAGTGGAACTGGCGTGTGGCCAAACTCTGACAAATCAGAGGAGGCCAGCACCTGTCCATTTGTGCCAAGTGGGACATGTGGTGGCAATGCTATTCCTTGTCCTCTAACAGCCTCCCTTGTGGCCCTGAAGCCACTGCTTGATGCAGAGGAAGAGTCTGTTCATGCCAGAGCCTCCTATCTCTGCAAGGCTGTGTGGGAGTGTCCCCTCTGCAATGCTGGGGCAGGTGGCAGGGCCAAGGAGCCCTGAGCTCTGCTGCAGCCCAGCAGCTGCTGCCCAGCCTTCCCTGCTGACTACTGGGACGTACATACACTCTGAATGCTCGCTGGAGTCGCTAAGTACTCACACTCAGCCAGCCCTTCAATGGGAAGCAGTATGAGTTCTTCAGGCATGAGTCACACACAGCTTCCACTGTGGCAAAAACTAAAGGCGCACACCTCCATACTGGCCACTCTCAGAAGCCATCACACCCACAGCCACCGACTGGCACTACAAGTCACTAAGGCCGGAGTCCCCACCAGCTGCTCCTGGCAAGTGTTTCAAAAGTCAGTTAAGGGTCTGAGAGGAAGATGAGTTAAGTGTTTACCACGCTCTCAGAGGCCTCACATTTGGTTCCCGCACACACGGCCAGCGGCCTGTAGCGCTCGCTCCAGGGACTCCAACACCCTCGTCCTTCTAGCCTCTACGGACATCAAACTCACATTTACATACACACATAAATAAAAATAAGATCTTTTTTTAAAAAAAAGTTCACACAGGAGAAAAAGACTGCACTATGTCAGTCAATATTCTCCATGTGTTAAAATACTTTAACAAATTAATAAAATTAAAACCCAGTAGAAAAAGCTGGTGGGTTCACACCTTTAATCCCAGAACCTGAGAGGCAGGTGAATCTCTGAGTTCAAGGCCAGCCTGGACTACAGAGCAAGTTCCAGGACAGTCAGGGCTACACAGAGACCCTGACTTAAAACAAACAAAGCCCCCACAAAAACAAAAACCAATAGAAAAGTAGGCAAACCCCACAAGCAGATAACACACTGAGCATCAGCACCGCTGCCTCCCAAAGCCCTACACCCATGACAGCAAAGGGTTAAAGGTGTACACACGGGATTAGGACAGGGGTGGGGTCCACCGGGGGAGGGGATCGGGGAGCGACCGACAACGAAGCTCAGAAAGCCCATGCCACTGGCAGCCACGGTCAGCTTGGAAGGCGCTCACAGGGAAGGCGCTCACAGGGAAGGAAGCGTACTGTGAGTCCTTAGCGCAAGCAGAGAGAGCCTGAGACAGTCAGGCCAGGTGTAGTAGTGCGCACCTACAATCCCAGCACGGGGAAGGCAGAGGCCGGGAGGCCAGAGTTTCCAGGTCACCCCAGTTCAGCAATCTCAGAGGCCAGCCTGGGCCACCTGCCTCAACAACCAAGCAGTCCTCTCCACCTTACGCATTCTGCTTCGTCTGGGCAAGAGGACGCACAGGTTCTTAAGGTTCAACCGTGGGACAGTGTTCGCTGCAGAGCAGTGTGAAGCTTTCCCGCACTGAGCTGACTCAGCCTGGCTGGACTGGGACTTGATGGACAGTGTGAGCCCATTGGTGTCAGATCTGACACATGTGACGCTGCTGCTCTAGCTGCAGAGAAAGTCTCCAACCCTTCAAACACAACAGAGAACAGCAGTACCAAGAGCAAGCTCCAGAACCTGCCAGCAACCGTGTGAATGACACAGATCCTGGCCACAGTTCACTAGAGTAGGCACCCGTGTCAGAGTCTACCTGAAAGTACGGACAAACACATACATGATGGCTACATGACCACTTCATGATGGGACAGCTGTATCAACATAAGAAACGCATCACTCAACACCGCCATTGTCCTAGTAACTGACCTCAAACAACCCGGACTCAAGCCCTCTGAACTCCAGGACCTTCATCTACAGAATGAAGAGAGCGATGCCTGAGAACACAAGCTGCAAAGCCCAGGGCCAGTGGTTCCACAACCTCAGTCCATAAAGCAGAATTTATACCAGTTTCACAAGCGCCTCCAAAGAGACCTGTACTGTTACACAAAACAAGACGTCACACACACTACAAGCCAGAACTTCTCAGGAATAAGGACATAACAATCCCTCAGCAAAACGTTAGCAAAGCAAATCCAGCAACACATGAAAAGTAAGCAACCACACATGCAGACCAGGTGGGACTTAGCTCAGGAGTGCAAGCAGGGCTGGTTCAGCCTGTGAAAAGTGACTGGTGGGAACGACCACACCAACAGGAAAAGACAAGGCTCACAGGGCCACCACACACCGAGCATTTGACAAAGCAGGGTAAACACTCAGCAGATGAGGAATAAAAGGGGACAGGCCCACACTTAACACAATGTTCAGTGTTGAATGAAAGGCACGCTAGAAGATCTTAAAGGAACAAGACTGTGTGTGTGTTCCCGCCACTTCTACTCGGGACTAACAAACACATGCCGCCGGGTGCAAGAGCCAGATCGATGCACAAACCCAGTTACGCAGCTACAGTCACAACAGACAAGAATGAATGAAGAATGAATGAAGACACAATTCCAAACTGGGCGGGGGTGGCGCACGCCTTTGATCCCAGCACTCGAGAGGCAGAGGCAGGTGGATCTCTGTGAGTTCCAGTGCAGCCTGGTCTACAGAGTGAGTTCCAGGACAGGCTCCAAAGCAATATAGAGAAACCCTGTTTTGAAAAACAAAACAAAAGGAAGAGAGGGAGGGAGGGAGGCAGGAAGGGAGGAAAGGAAGGAAGGCAGGCAGGCAGGAAGGGAGGAAGGGAGGAAGAAGACTACCTGCATACTGAAACTATTCATCACCACAAAGAGAAATTAAAGACACGGAAAAGCACCCTATGCTCATGCGGCAAAGCTTGACCATTATTAAGACAGCAGCATCCCTGAAATGAGGCACAGATCCCAGCAAAGTCCTCTAGGAGCTCAGGCCAATAACTCATGGAAGTGGACACACTGAGTCTAAAACCCACACAGACCCAAGACAGACAAATGACCTTTAAAAAGGACACTCGTTTCCTAATGTCAAAACTCACTACAGGGCCAGGCGTAGCAGGGCACACACAGGCAGAGGCAGACAGGTCTCAGTGAGTTCAAGGCCAGCTGGCTCTAAAGGGAGGGGGTGGGGTAACGACAGAGACCTGTGCAGCCTATATATACTCTGTACAGAGCCTAGCTAGCATGGACTCTTCCACAGTTTTGTAAACGCTAGCAACTGCTACTTCAGAGCCCACTAACATGTTTCCCTGCCCAAAGAGAAACTCCCAGTCAGTTCCCCCACTGATGAGGGCGCATGAGTGTAGTGTTCACACAAAAGAGCCGGGTGACCAAGATCTCTACAAAATCCTCTGTTCTCCCACCTCTTCAGAATCAACATCTGCTTCAAACAGAGAAAAATGTGGAAACTATTCCAAAGCCTAGACCTCCTAAGGGCTGCCAGTATTGACAAATGGCATTCAAAAGTTCAACAAGCTAAAATAATAATAACAACAACAACAACAACAATAATAAAATATCTTATCAAATTTGGGTGTTTTTTAAAATTATCTTGTCTTAAGGTGATGAAACAATAAATTAGAAAACTAAAACAGGGAGACAGAGAGTGGTTAGGAGAACTGACTTTTTCAGGAGGACCCAGGTTCAATCCCAGCACCCACATGGCAGCTCACAACTGTCTAAACTCCAGTTCCAGGGAACCTGACATCCATGGCAAATCACCAATGCACACAGAATTTAAAAAATAGTCATTAATTTTTTTTTTAAAAAAAAGGAAACTAAAATATTTTCTAAGGGAACACAACTCTCCATTGTATGAAAAAGAATTAATGAAACAATCCTAAACAAGGAGGTAACAGGTACAGCTCTAAACGCCCTGCCAGGGAGGAGCCCGCTCATGAGGTCTCGAGCGTGAGCTCGCCCACCTGCACAAGACCGTTTTCTTTG